CGCTCGAGCGGGAAAAGTAACGCTCGAGCGTGAAATGTGCGTATCCAGCACTTTTCACATGTTTACAGTCCGCCTGAGCGAGGGAATGCAGGCTCGAGCGAGGACTTGTGTCTCACGCTCGAGCAGAGGTCAAGCGCCCATCGAGCGTGAATTGCATGCATCCAGTACTTTTACCTGAGTTTGCAGTCCGCTCGAGCAAAGGAAGTCACGCTCAGGCGGAGCTCCTTTATCTGCATGTCCGCTCAAGCGTAGAAAGCCACGCTCGAGTGAGACCCTTGTTTTCTGAAAATTTTGAAAAGTGTTTTAAAGTACATCTTTGTATCCTCATTTCATCCTAGGCATTCCTAGGCTTAGTTTAAGACATCTTAATGAGGTTATTGATGTAGAACCACACCGAGTCAAGATAGGGACTAAGTCATTGATTTCCAAGTGTGTAACTTAGTGTGTGTTCGTTCTGTAACTGTGTAGAGTTGGCATCCGAGGACGCTCACTAGCTACTATTAGCCCAGTGCTCTGTGAGTAACAATGTTGTAAGGATATGTTCAATAATGAATTTTTCTGAATGATCAACTGTACTGCTTTCTGAAATGATATTTCTTACTGAATGAATGTTTGTCCTATTTGTAAACTGTATCCGTGGCATCCATAGCAATTTATTGTTACTGCACTGTTACTGCTACTGTCACAGAGATCTCTGTCGGTTCCCATGTAAGAACCACTACTGTTTACTGATATGATGGCCATCAACTGACTGTTCGGACTGTTAAGACCTACTATACTGTTTGCTATCGGATGTACCACATATAACTGCTATGGTTTTCTAAATGACTGATATGACTGCTTATTGACTGAAAGGACATTCATTCTTAACCTCTTTACATAACTGTTATTCACTGGATTTTAGCTCACTGTTTATATATATATGTAGGTGTCCAGGCACCAGATCGGAGCTAGGAGCGTTGGGTTAAACTCCTTTTTTGTCAAGCCAACCATTGTGCCTCACTTCGAGGTTCCGAGTGCGTCAAGCCAAGGCTGTTTTGGGGTGTTTTAGATTCCCCCTTTCTGTCTCTGTTTTGTATAGACTGTATGAGACTGGCACTATACTGTTATGGTAGGGACTTGGTCCCCAACTTGAATGTCTGTATATGATGTGTGTATGTACATACTGTTTTGCTTATGAATGTGAATACATTCAGAAAAGTCTTTTTGCATACAGACTGTCACAGCTCATTGGACATCTTTTATTACTGTTTTAGCTTCCGCCAGCCCCTGTACTCTGTATTACTGTCTTTACTGTTAAGCAGGCTTTTGGTAATCACGAATTACTAGCCGGTTACGGTGCTAAACCCATAGGGGCGAGTTTGGATCGTGACACCTAACCTCGAACCTCTCTACATTTCTGGCAACTCAACTGGGGAGGCTACTTTGTTGATGGTTCATTCCCGCAGTAGTTTACATACTTCACTGGAAAAAATGACAGATGATGAAGTTCAGCAGCAGGTCCGGCAGCAAGGTTCTTCTAATGGCAGAACAGAACATGTTGAGGACCATGACCACAGTGTTGTAGTTGAAGCAGTCCAGTTACTTCAGGACATGCAGAGGGAGATCTTGATAACTTTACAAACTCTCACCGAAGCTATCATGGCTACAGCATCCAGTTTGGCCCCAGCGCAAGTGCCTCCACCTATAGCAGTCCCAAATCTAGTGCCTAATCCGTTCCCCAAGAATCAAGCTCCAATCCAAGTACCTCCGGCGGTACCTTAGGCAAACAGTAAGGCTGCTGGTTCAACCCACTCACTTTGTTACCCTCGCCGATGTACAAGCTATGCTAGAGCAAGAGCGTAGCAAGAAACAGCTACCATCTTTCCCAGATCCAGATGTGAAGCCCCCATACTCCCAAGAGATACTGGCCATGCCATACCTAGCTAGGTATACAATACCCAAGAATTTTAAGTTTGATGGGAAACAAGGAAATGCCAGAGAACATGTGGTGAGGTTCATTGAAACTCTTGGTGTCCATGGTAGTGACCACCCTCTGCACCTTCAAGAGTTCTCCAAATCACTTACTAAAAGAGCTTATAGCTAGTATGTGAACTTGGCTCCCAACTCGATCAAGAGTTGGGTGGAGATGGTGAACAAGTTCCACACAAAGTTCTTTCAAGTCCAAGGGAAAGTCACAACCCTCACACTTGGGCGAGACATCCAAAAAGAAGGTGAAGATATACCGGACTATGTTAAGAGGTTCCAGGATAAAGCCATTGACTATCATGAATCAATAGATAAGGCCCACTTAGTCAACATATGTGTGGAGGGTGCCATACGCGACTACGAATTTTTCTTGGTGAACCATAATCTGCCTACCTTTTTGGCTTTGATTGAGGAGGCTAGGAACCTTAGTACCACGGATCCTCTGCATAGATCTCACAACAGTTACCACTACTCTCGCAGTAGCAAAGTTGCTGCGGTAACCGTCGCATGAGGGAGTCGCTCACAGGGAGAAGTGTCGTCCTCTAGGAAGAGAAAGAGTTAAGAGGACAGAAACCCATATCCTTGCAATCTCAAGAATATTAAAGCATTGGTTAAAGAATGGGTAGCCAATGGTGAACTTACTTTACCTCCGGTTGATGTTCCCCCAACCAAGAAAGACAAAGAAAGCCCAAATTATTGTGTCAACCACCAAGCCACTAGGCATCCTACTAGAGACTGTTGGACTTTGAAAAGTATCTTCAAGAAGAAAGTTGTTGCGAATCAGCTAAAGTTTAAAGATACCGGTAATCGTGATGTAAGAAAAGACCTATATCCCAACCACAAGGAGAAGGGGAATAATGTACATATGATTGGGTATCTTGGGCCTGTGCGTGATCAAGTACACATGGCATCCTAGTATGATGAGTTAAAAGAAATCGCAACGAGCCAGCTCCTTAAGACAATACCTACAGAGGCAAAACTCACAGAGGATACTCATGCTCAAGCCTTAGAAAACTCTGTTAAGTTTCGTACCTTCTTTGACCAGCTAGGGCTGAGCATGCTGCCAGGTTGGAAGCAACAAAGGCCCTCATCAACATTTTTGAAGTGCATCATACTGAAGTTGTTAAGGCTAAGGAATATGTACCTCGGCGTATCCAGGAAGACTATAGGGCTATTTCCTTTTCAGAAGCAGACAGAGCATACCCATTTCCCCATAACCATCCTCTTTTTATCACAGCTTACATCCATGATGTAGAATGCATGCATGTTTTCCTTGATAGCAGGGCATCCATAAACATCATTACTACCGACACATTTGCGAAAGCCAGTATCCTAGAGTCCAGAATGGTCTGCCAACCCATTGTTGTGACGGGCTTTGGTAGTTACTAAGGGCCATGCTGTAGTGGACTTAGCAGTTAACGAGATCCGCTCCGCAACTAAGTTCCATGTGATCGAAACAGACACAAATTACCACATGATACTTGGCAGAGCTGGGCTGCACCGATATGGGGCTATCCCGTAGTTATCACCAATGTGTAAAGGCAAAGTTAGGAAGGTAACAGTGGCCATAAATGTGTTTGAAAAGCCATTTGGGGTACAGGAGGCCCACTATTCTGATGTAGTCTTCTTTACTGAGTTGTCAGCAAATGAAACCCCAAGGACTGGCAAAGTTGTAGGGGTAAAGTTGCCAAAGTGGGAAAACATTCAAGATGCAGAGGCTGCTTCAGAAAGTAGTGGGCAAAAGAGGAGCAGCAAGTCCACAAGTCCTTTACCAAAGATTGTTAAAGTGCGTGAAAGTGGCAAGATAGTTTACTACCCCTAATGGTCTTGGAGGCCAGACTTCATACCCTGGTAGGATGGCCTCGAGCCCAACACGTGCAATGGCAACGAGTCCCAAGAAGGGGTGGTGGAGACTCCTGAACCCGCCCCTAAGTGCATAGAAGATAGGCCCAAACCGCAACAGGAAGTACTTGTTGAGGTAAACCTTAGTGACTTGCCAATGCAAAGCAAACATGTGTTTATCAGCGATGCAAGGGCTCTAGCAACTAAGGCAGAATTGATAACACTAATGAAGCAGTACAATAATGTCTTCACCTGGACATATGACGAGATGCCTGGCCTGGACCCATCTCTTGTCACTCATCACCTTGACACTTTTTCCAACTCTAAACCGATAAAGCAGCACGCTTGAAAGTACCACCCCGACCTTGAAGCAAAGATTAAGAAAAAGGTAGAAAAGTTACAGAGGGCCAAGTTTATTGAGCCTATACAGTACCCGACTTGGCTAGAAAATATTGTGCCTATAAAGAAGAATAATGGCCAGATCAGGGTTTGCGTAGACTTTCGTGACCTAAACAAGGCCTGCCCGAAAGATGAATTTTCATTACCCCATGTCGACACACTTGTCGATTCTACTACAAGCCATTAGATGTTCACTTTCATGGACGGGTTCAGTGGTTATAACCAGATAAAAATGGCACCAGAAGATGCAGAAAAGACAACTTTCAAAACGCCCTTGAGAAATTTTTTCTATACAGTGATGCCTTTCGGTTTGAAAAACGCGGGGCAACCTATCAACAGGCTATGATGTAGTATTCCACGATATGTTACATCACAAAGTAGAAGTGTATGTGGATGATCTGGTAGTAAAGTGTACCGAAGTAAATCGGCACCTCTGCAACTTGGAAAAAGTTTTTTAGAGTTGTCACAAATTCTGTCTAAAGATGAACCCTCTCAAGTGTGCCTTTGAAGTTACCCTAGGAAGATTCCTTGGTTTCTTGGTACACCAACGTGGTATCAAGGTAGACGAGGAAAAGATCAAGTCCATTATAGAGATGCCACAGCCACACTCTCAAAAAGCCTTTAAGAAATTCCTAAGCAAAGTGTTATATCTCAGGAGGTTCATTCCAACCCTTGCTTAGATAACCTTCTACTTTGGGACACTGCTGAAAGGGAATCACAAGTTTGAATGGCTACAAGAACACTAACAAGCATTTGATATGTTAAAGAAAACACTTACCTCACCATTTACAATGATCGCCCCACAACCTAAAAAGCCTCTGCTACTGTACCTTATCTCTACACCTCAGTCTATTGGGGCTTTACTTGTCCAAGACATAAATGGTGTTGAGAAGCCAGTCTATTACATCAGTCACAAAGTCAATGGTGTTAAATCACGGTATACCCCAATTAAGAGGCATTGTTTGGCCTTAATCTTCACAGGGCAGAAGTTGCGCCACTATTTTTTGGCACACCCAATCCAAGTTGTGACCAAAAGTGATCCAGCCCGCTACTTACTAAGCAAGCCCGCTCTGAATGGAAGAATGGAAAGATGGCTCTTGGCTCTAGCAAAATATGACAACGATTACATTACCCCTAAGGCTATTAAAAGCCAAGCGCTTGCAAACTTGCTAGCACAATTCCCATCTGGTGAACATGAACCTGGAAAGGTACCTTTACCTGGTGAGGTCCATATCTCAGCAACTGCAGTTGAGACCTATTGGGACATAAAATTTGATAGAGCCTCTGGGGCTGGGAAAGGTGGAGCTGGCATAACACTCACTAGTCAGGAGGGGAAGAAGTTTCATTTATCATATAAGCTTGACTTTGAATGTTCAAACAATGAAGTTAAATATAAGGTGCTGATACTAGGTTTGATTGCTGCCCAAAAGAAAGCCCTCTGCAAGCCAAAAATTTGGGACGGCTCCAAATTAGTTGTCAAGCAAACCCTGGGTGATTTCGCATTAAAGGAACCTCTTTTGGCCCCATATCGTACCATTGTTCAGAAGTTGCTCACTCAGTTTGATGATGTCCAAATCCAGTGTACCCCTCGAACACACAACCGTTTCCCTGATGCCTTGGCTACACTATGGGCAAATGTGGATATACCAGATGATAGTATAGCCATCGTCATCAAGAAAAGAATAACACCAGAAGTGTTAGCCGAAGAACATACATAGAAAAGTGCTGAGGAGTGGAGAACAGATATAATCCAACAATTCAAAATAGACCAAGGAACAATCAGACCAGCAGAACTTGCATCATTCATGCTCCTCAGAGGAGAGTTATACTTCTATGGTCCCAACAACCTGTTAGCAAGGTGCGTCCGTAGAGAAGAAGCAACTTATAGACTTAAGAAGATCCATGCTAAGTCTTGTGGAGACAGAGATATCAATCTATACTGACAGTTACAAAAAGAAAGGTATTACTAGCCAGAGATAGAAAAGGAAAGTACTGAGTTGCAGAGGCAATGTGCAAAATGTCAGTCCCATCTTAAGAAAGAGGAAGCCTATTTCTTAAGCAGTGAATAATGGAGACAGCCATATATTGACTACCTTGGAAATAGCACACTGCCTGAGAACAAAGCTAATGCAATCAGAGTTAAGAAGCGGGCCCTCCGCTTCTCTCTTGACCAAGGCAAGCTATATCAAATAAGCTTTGAAAGGTCACCTTTGGCGTGTTTATCAAAAAATAAGGCAAACGAAGTGCTGAGGGAAGCCTACAAGATAAAGCATCAATGAGGGCAGTGGCTATATGGACACCTTATCCACCTCGGCTACTACTAGGCGACAATGGAAGAAAATGCTAAAAACTTTATAAGAAGATGCCAGTCCTATCAAAAGTTTAGGAACTTGATATCTGCACCGGCAGTTGAGCTACATAACATCAAGACCCTCTACCCGTTTCATACTTGGGCATTTGACTTGGTAGGTCCTATAGTGCAACAATCCAAAGGCCACAGATGGATACTTGTAGTGACTAAAGTTAGCACCAAGTGGGTAGAGGCTATACCAATGAG